AGATACGCACTGTAAAGTGCTTTGAGGATAACAGTATGGTGAAGAAACTACTAGGGACTCCAACTAAAGGGGAGGTATCACTCAATATACCACATCAACACAATACATTATTAGGTCCTGGTCATTGATGCTGGTGGGAGCAATCGTAGAGCCGTAGTAGGAGACCTTATAGCAGCATCTGCAGTTAAGAATAGTTGGGCAGGTACATGAAGGCATGCTACCTACCTTCCCTCTCGATTTGCCTTCCACAGGTATAGTAGTGTATGGTTATATAAGGGACTCTGCTGCTGTTAATAAGATGGATATTGGTGTGAAAGCGCTAGGCACCCATCCAAGGAAGACAGAGAAGAAGGATATAGGGGATGTCGATGTAAGAGGGGACCTCATCTTATTCTGGTGTCGGAGAGTCTACTCTAGATACCTGTAAAGTTTGGCGGTGTTGTATTCACTCCTGGGCACTGGCTTTATTCTGATGAGGATGGTATCATTGTAGCTGCGTCTGATGTAAGGAGACCTACTGCCGCCATCTAGGCACCATCATCATCATGATTATCACTTTTCTGAATGATATAGGCTATTGTTGGGTTAAGTCAAGATGGTATGATGGATTACCACATGTGTTGTGATGTATTAGGGTATAGCTGATATCATACTCCTTGTGTAGGAATACTTTTTCAAAGAGCTGCTCTTAGATGTCTGATAGCATCATAGAGACGTCGTCCCATAGCCGAACACCATCAAAGGTTGATGACACTACCATTAAGGGGGATGCAACACCAAAGGATACTGAGGGAGTCGTCACCCGCCGGAAAGCTGCAGCTCTGGCTGCTGCTGCAGTAGTTATAGAGAGTTCCTCGGGGAGTGGTACTGGCAAAGATGACGCTGTTTCTGTGGAGGATGGCAGTGTTGGTCCTTCGACAGATGCTGAGAATGCTGTAATACCCAGCATCAAAGAGCAACAGCCTGTGAAAGGTAGTAGTGGGTTGGCATATGATATGAGGGTAGATGGTCGTGGTATTCAGAAGCTGCTGTAGCCGCAGCGGCAGCCTTATTAGGGAGTAGCGGGAAGGATGGTAACCAAGGGAATGAGGCAGAGGATGATGCTGCCAAAGCTCTCGGACTGGACCCAAGCCCACCAGGTACTACCAGGCATACAGCTTCACGTCATCTACAACTGTACATATCGTGTCAGCCACCGTCCTACCAGCGTCGGCCCAACCCTTCCTTGCTGACATCCCTGTAGAGAAGCCTAGTGCTTCGGAGATCAGACGGAACCTTACTCCTAGAGAGGCACGGCAATTAGCAGAGCTACAATACCATGAGCAGCTACGGGCATATCAGAGATGGGTAGCAGCTGTGGCTGATGCTATGAGGGAGAGGGCTACTGCAACAGCAACAACAACAACAACAACAGCTGCTGCATCAATCCTAGAACAACAGAAAGGTGAGATGGAGGACCATGATGGTGAGGATGATAACGCCGAGCATAAGGTGCATGAAGAGGTAGTATGGAGATAGCAATGACCCAATCTATCATCACTACCATCAGGCATTCGAAGGAGACAGCAAGAGGTCACATGCCGTGGTGGTAGGTGATGGTGAAACAACTGTATCGCCAGCTAGGAAGGCTCCTAAGACCAGTGCCACAGTTAGTGTTCCACGACCGGACCAGGTGAGTAGGTTTGGTAAGTGTCTGGTGCTAATGATCACATACCGTCAGGCAAAGGAAGGTCTCACTGAGTCCCCATCAACCATGCTGGACTCGGCAAATAATAATGCTACAATAGCGTGATGAGATATGCATTAGTATTGATAATAATCTCTGATAGTATTATACGATTCAATAATATACATTCTGGTAGTCACTACTACTGGGTTCCGCTACTACTCTGCTGTCTGTTGCTGCTTCTGGATGATGATACTTGTTGTAGCTCATCAGTATAGTAGTAGTGGGTTGGTGGGATACTTTTACTCAACCGTAAGCTCGTATTGTGTTACCATCCTGAATCCTATTCTATCGTGTCAGTTTATCATAAGTAGGATGCGATAGACAGCTGTAGGTTGGGGGTAGGGGAAGAGGATATATGGCAGGAGTAGGGTTGGTGGGAGTCCATGCCATGTTGTAGGTCGTCAGCCCCTCCCCTTGCCGTCTTTATCTACAGGGCCACTATCCTCATCGGTGTGAATAGGTCTACCATCCAATCCCATAGGAGATTACACACCCTGTGGGGTATTAGAGGTCTACTTAATCGACTTCTCCAGTATACTTAGGTCCAGAATTGGAGGAATATGATTATCCATCATGCCCTCTTCACTCCATGGTACACTAGTTAGTTGTATCAACTCCTAGCCTCTGTCATTACTTCTAAGTCCTTTGCAGTAGGAGTATCCTCTGATGCTGATACTGCCAGAAGATTGACCTCATACATTGACCATTCTAATAGTGTTATTGATATCTTTAATCTGATAGTAAAGCGTGAACGTCAGCCTAGCCCCCTCGGCTGCGGTGGCTCCGGATGGTGTCCTACTCCGCGAGCAGTTGACACCTGTAGTATAGCCTTCGATGCCATCATTCATGAGGTCACAGCAAGAGACATTGACACCTCTATCGAACTCATTCACTACGGCTTCCGGATATCGGTCTGGTTGCTGATTTGTGGACCCCTTTAGACATGTTCACTCCCCGAGTCTAGGATAAAGCTTTGACAGTTGTAGTAGCTGACATTGTAGTATACAACAATGTTCATGGATTAAGCCCATCAGTACTCATCATTGTCATCATCAGCCGTACAACACTATCATCCATCATCATATTGTGTTCCTGCCAATAGCTGATTAGTCATGCTATAGTTATCTCATATGCCTCCTAGAGCCAACAAGAGTAAGAGGCGTAGACACCAAGGTGGTGGTGGTCGGCAGGAGACCTCTAACATCAGGAGTCGTGTGTACCTATCCGTGTGTATGGAGGGTAGTCGACTCGGTATTGCTCTTCTCGACTTGAATAGTGGTAGCCAAGATACAGTAGTACAGGCGTCCGAGCTGGATGATGCCCTCGCTGCTATGTTACGGGGTGTAGTGAGTTATTCTATTGACGGTCGTCATGATGATGGTGGTAATGATGATGATGTATTGGGGTGTCTAGTGCTGTACCCTGGTAAATCCCCACTAGTATTACGCCAACAGCTAGGGGATAAAGTCCGAACCTCTGGCATGGCTCGACAACCACAGACGGCTAATGGAGGGGATGCTGGACTGACGGATCCCATCATCCTATCGACGACAATGACGGCCATTGAGAGGCCTGTGTCACAGTACGAGTATCCATCATGTGTTCAGAGAGTACTCGACTTATGGCTAAGTTGGATCTGCAGACGATGCCGCCACAATAACACGAGTACTACACTACCAATAACAGAGTCACTCACACTGTGGAGGCTCTATCTGGTCTACTATCTCCTCGACGAGATGGGCTTGCTTACTCGATATCGCCTAGAGGGAGTAGTCATGAAGCCACTAGAGGGGCTCCTATCAGTAGACAGCGTCACATTACGTACCCTAGGGGTAACAAGTGCTGGTCGTAGCACTGCAATAGTAGCTGGTCACAAGCATCGAGTTATGACACTAGTATCACTCGCTTACTCGGACGTTATATATCGTCCCCTCCAGGTCGAGGGGTTCTGCAAAGGTGGTTGGCAATGCCATGTAGCAACATTGATATTATAGAGTCAAGGTTGAAGGCACAGGAGATCATCATAGGCAACCTCTCGCCTGACCTCGCTTCTAGGATGAGTAAGAATCTCAAAAAGCACCGTGACCTCTCTAAGATACTCGATAGAGTTACCCAAGGTTTCAATCTTGATAGTGCGGCTCGAGTAGCTGCATGGTTACAATTACTACGATCATGCCAAGCTGCGTTAGAGATAATTAGATCTATCGAGATGCTACCACCAACATCACCGTTGAGGATTGAAGTACCCTGTATATCCAGCCTGCTGGAGTGCCGTACACCATTACTACAAATACAGCACATGTTGGAGGCCAGCTTTGACCTAGATGCCTGGGCAGCTGCTGGGCCTACCCACCTATCGATCAAGGTTGGCATCATCCCTGAACTTGATGCATTACGTGAACAGTACGATAAGTTGGAGGACATCCTCACTAGGATGGGTGCTGCTGAATCCAAGGCCTTAGAGGACAGACTACAACAACAACAAGGAGGAGGAGGAGGAGCAGGCTCGATACCTTCATGTTCTCTCGCGCCTAGTAATATCGACTATCTCGGTAACGATCCCAATGACCCTTGGTATGAGGCTTTGAGTACTACAGGCTGTGACCACCACTCAGACCATCGTCCCATAGCTGGTAGCTGCATCAGCGACAGTCAACTCTGCTCCAGGCCTGTACATATACAACTGCAGTACTTCCCTCAAATGGGGTTTGTAGCCTCCCTGCCGACTGCAGATGTTCAGGAGGTACTCGTCCCACTACTTTCTACCGGGCGGGAGAAGCTCAGAGATATTGGCGATGACTGGCAGGAATGTGTTGATGTTGTATGCGGGAACCTCGAGGGCTGGGACTTCAAGTTTCGTACTGCCGACAGAGCCTTCTTCAAAAGCCCTATAACACGAAGGCTCGATAAATACCTGGGTAACATAGAATCTAAGATGATAGAGATAGAGTACTATCACCCCCTGCCCCTCATCAGAGTGTATGGGTGTAGATACGAGTACCTCTATAGACTAGCGGATAAACTCGAGGAGATCGGGAGTAAGCCTCTTGCTGTGGCCACAGCTGCATTATCAGAGCTAGACTGTCTCTTGGGGTTGTCCAGAGCCAGTCGGGAGCACGGCTGGACCCGACCAGCAGTGGTGCGCTGTCATCATTCTCCAACAATGCTCCATCTTGCATATATCAGGTGCCTCCTTCTACTAACGATGATGATGTCGTCATGAAACTTACCGGGTCGTGGCATCCTCTTATGTCTGACGCCACCACAACAACAGCTACTAGTGGTGGCAGAGTCGATAACAGCCATTCGGTGGTCTCCAATGATATACTCATAACCTCAGACTGCCGTACTCATATACTAACAGGGCCGAATTACTCTGGCAAGAGTGTTCTACTTAAACAGATAGGCTTAACGGCAGTGAGTCGAGAGTCAGGTCCAAGTGAGGGAGCCTAGCGGCGCTGTTCGATCAGTTCCTCTGCCATTGTGGTGTGTATGTTCCAGCTAAGCAATGCCGCATGCAACTCCTAACACAACTCTTCGCCCGAATGGCTAGCTCCGATCAGAGGATACCAAAGTTCGTTAGTGCTGGGGAGAGAAGGCAATTAGAGGACATCGTCAGATCAAGCACCCTCCTCTCAACCTTCACCAGGGATGCCCATGAGGTGAGCCTCCTCCTGTTGGCTCGCTGAAGGGTATCTACCCCCGAACGGGTGACCTTAGCCC